GGGGGGGGGAGGAGGTCTCCCATCCCCTTTCCTCCCTGCAAATGCCTTTGACCAGCTTCCAAGGTGGCTCCAGTGGGGAGAGGAGGTTGTACGTGGCAAGCCATTTTCTCACCAGTAATGCTTGACATTGATCCCTTTCTTAGTATTATGACCTTTTATACGTAACGCACTTTCAGTATGATGACTATTGTCTGTATTGGAGAGTGAATAAGCTGAGCAATCCTTGCGACTTGCACTTTTGTGGAGGTCTCAATTATTTTTGGGAGGAACCCTGGGAAGGGGCAAAATGGATAGAGGGGAGCAAACACGCACATTCATGTCATTATCTGGAAAAAGAGTTGGAATGGCCAGTTTTGATCAGAGTCCATGCTGGAAAGCTTACTTAACATGCCTTCCCTATGGCACTTTTCGCCTTCATATGGTCCGGATCTTCCTTTGGCCAGCGTGCCTAAGAGACCAACGCTGTCAAAATCATTTGTTTGCCATCTCAAGGACCATCGCTGAGAGATAATTTCCAGTGTGAAGGTTCTGGCTATGGAAGAGATCGTAGGAGTACATCCATTTTTCATCTCTCTCTTCATGCAAACGGCGGCTTGATGGCCTCTGGCAGTGTAGTTCTCCTGAAGCCTACCTCAGGCAAGAGCCGCCTGAGAAAATCCTTCCCTTCGGTTCTCAGTCTGCATGCAGTTTTACCAATCTTGTTGACATGGTTTCTTTTTTGATGGGGGAAACCCATCTGCGTGAAATTTAGGAGCGCAGTGTTGAGCACCAAGTCATTTGGTGGGGTAGCGGCCGACGTTCTTCCTTTGTTTTCCCCCATGCAGTAGACAGTCCACATCAGAGGTCCTCGAGAAGAGACTCAGACCAAGGCCACGTCTATTGTCTGCAGCTCGGGTTGATTGCTCCAGGACCCCAAAGAAAATGAATGCGCACTTGATATCCCAGAGCATTCATCGGAGAAACGACGAGTATCAGACAGTGATCGACGAAGTGTTCTTTGCTGCAGATGGAGAGAGGCAGACTGATGTACTAAAAGTAACTGTCTGATGTGCTGCTGCCAAAGGACCTAACCCTACCCTGGTGCACACCCCTAACCCTAATGTAGGGGTAAAGTTCCATTAAAGAGAGAGCAATTCTGAAAAAGCCTTTCTTGAGTAGCTTTTTCTGCACAGCTCAACATTTCTGCCCATTCTACACGCATCCCAACCATCAAAAGCATGCCAGGACACTTCGTTTTCCTAACCCTAACCTGGTGCAAACCTGTAACCCTAACATAGGGGTAAAATTCCATTGAAAAGAGGGCAATTTTGAAAAAGCCTTCCTTGAGTAGGTTTTTCTGCGCAGCTCTTCTACCCATTCTAAACACATCCTAATCATTAGACGCATGCCAGGACACCTCGTTTTCCTAACCCTAACCTTACCCTGGTGCACACCCATAACCCTAATATAGGGGTAAAATTCCATTTAAAAGAGGGTGATTTTGACAAAGCCTTCCTTAAATAAGTTTTTCTGAGCAGCTCAATTTTTCTGCACATTCTAAACAAATACTAAGTATCAAAACTATGCCAGGACACCTAGTTTTCCTCACCCCAACCCTACCCTGGTACACACCCCTAACCCTATTATAGGGGTAAAGATCCATTGAAAACAGGGCAATTTTGAAAACGCCTTCGTTAAGTAGGTATTTCTGCGCAGCTCATCATTTCTGCCCATTCTAAACACATCCCAACCATCAAAAGCATGCCAGGACGCTTCGTTTTCCTAACCCTAACCCTACCCTGGTGCACTCCCCTAACCCTATTATAGGGGTAAAGATCAATTGAAAAGAGGGTGATTTTGAAAAAGCCTTCCTTGAGTAGGTTTTTCTGCGCAGCTCAATTTTTCTGCGCATTCTAAACACATACCAAGCATCAAAATTATGCCAGGACGCCTCATTTTCCTATCCTAACCCTACCCTAGTGCACATCCCTAACCCTATTTTAGGAGCAAAGTTCCATTGAAAAGAGGGCAATTTTGAAAAAGCCCTCTTTGAGTAGGTATTTCTGTGCAGCTCATCTTTTCTGCCCATTCTAAACGCACTCCAACCCTCAGAATCACGCCAGGACATGTCGTTTTCCTAACCCTAACCCTACACTCGTGCACACCCTAACCGTATTATAGGGGTAAAGTTTTATTGAAAAGAGGGCAATTTTGAAAAAGCCTTCCTTGAGTAGGTTTTTCTGCGCAATTCATTTTTTCTGCCCCTTCCAAACACTTTCCAACCATCAGGATCACGCCAGTACTTCTCGTTTTCCTAACCCTAACCCTACCCTGGTGCACACTCCTAACCCTATTATAGGGGTAAAGATCAATTGAAAAAAGGGTGATTTTGAAAAAGCCTTCCTTGAGTAGGTTTTTCTGCACAGCTCAACTTTTCTGCCCATTCTAAACACGTCCTAATCATTAGAATCATGCCAGGACACCTGGTTTTCCTAACCCTAACCCTACCCTCGTGCACACCCCTAACCCTATTATAAGGGTAAAGTTCCTTTGAAAAGAGGGCAATTTTGAAAAAGCCTTACTTAAATCGGTTTTTCTGCGCAGCTCATCATTTCTGCCCATGATAAACACATTCCAAACATCAGAATCACGCCAGGACACTTTGTTTTCCTAACCCTAACCCTAGCCTGGTGCACACTCCGAACCCTAATACAGGGGTAAAGTTCCATTGAAAAGAGGGTCATTTTGAAAAAGCCTTCCTTGATTAGCTTTTTCTGTGCAGCTCATCATTTCTTCCCATGTTGAACACTTTCCAACCATCAAAATCATGCCAGGACACCTCGTTTTCCTAACACTATCCCTACCCTGGTGAACACCCTAACCCTAATTTACGGGGGGAAATAGCACTCGAAGGGATGATTCTGAAACATCCTTCCTTGAGTAGCTATTCCTGCACAGGTCATCACATGTGGCTCAACATGCGTAGGCTTCCACCACAATTCATTTTTCTCGCCGTTTGTGATCCTACTCCACCGCTGTCCAGCCTGTGATTTCGAGCAACCTGTGCTGATGATGACTGGACAATACTAACCACCCCTCTTATTTTTTGACCTTTCGGGGAGATGCTGGCAGTCCCGTCATTCGTGAGGCCGACGCCAGGAAGGAGCTGCGTGGGACCGTAAGCGGGGTGCTAGCTGTGCCGAGAAGGAGAAACCCACAGTCTAAACGGGGGTCTCATGGGTCGAATCACATGGGAGAAATGTTCTGCCTGCGAGCAGCCACGTCGGCTCTGCCAAGCAGACTGACCTTCCGGGAAAAAAGGGCAGAAAAGGACTGTGCCTCCCCTTCTGGTGGCCATCTTAGGAGAGGCAAGGAAGTCCCTCACAGTAGGGCAGGGAGGGAAGGAAGTGATGATGGGGCACCATCTTGATCATGGCTTATTACAGGGAGTGTAGCCCTGTAATGCAGGGAGTGTAGTGTTTTCATTATCCTTTCAGCAAATGTAGAGTTGCCTCAGAGAACTGCGGTTGCCCCTCCTGTATGGATTTCCATCCTTTACCAGAAGTTCGGCGTGTACTGCCCTTTTCTGTTTCAGGCAGCCCAGGGGCCGCCATTTTGTGTCCCTCCTTCCTCCTACGCACTGTGCGGGGAAGGGCCCACCATTTAGAAGCAAACAAAAAAATAAATCGGTATCTCACATGTCCATAAATTACCCACGGAGCTTCAGCGCCGTGGCCTCAACTGGGCTGCCGGGTCAAAGAGGCATCGAAGTAACAGGGCCGGCAGACTCAAGAGGCGCAATTCATGGCACTGGCCACGCGAGGGCGCTCCAGGACTGCGGATGGGGCCATCGCTGGCTCTGGGAGGCAGGAAAGAGAAAGCGATCCACGGCTGAGCTTTCCCATCGGCAGGGCAGCATTCAACAGGTAGAGACGCCCACTGCCCAGGGCAGCAACACGGCCCCGTCCTGTAGAAGTCACCCTTGCGTTGCTTCATTGCACTATTGTCACTGCATTGTCTTTGCCTGGTGCTATTTTACGGACATTTGTATTGCAATGGCCCGACAGGGAGTGCGTGGGAATGCGGTTCCTCGATGAACCCAAGATACAAACTTAAAGCTGCAGGAACAGCAGAGCAGTGCAAGCCCGGCCACCTTCATTCCTGTTTGAGCACTGGGGAGGGTCCCAAGCATCTCTCTCCCAGACTGGCTCTCCCCAGTAGGATTAAAAGCAAGCAAGCAAATAAATGTCTTGAAAAGGTTGGGAGAGAACAGGAAAAGAATAACCTTAGGGGAAAAAAGAGGAAAAATAAGGTTTCTGGGCCGTTGCCCCCTCCCATGATCTTTGCGGCGCTTCCACATGGTGAGGAGCTGACACACACAGTTGACCTGCTTCTGCTCTGTCGTGCCAGGCGGCGATTGGGGCGTCACCTGCAAGGTGGGCAGCTTGGCTGGTCCTCCCCCTCCCACCGTGCCCCCACCCTGTGGCTGCTCCTGTCCGCTTGTATCGGTGTGGCTGCCGGAAGTGAAAAATGCAGTTTTGATTGGGAAAAAGGCACATTCTGTAAAACAAAATGCACATTGGCTAAAGCACGGAAATGTGTGTTTTCAAAGGAAAATGCACATTCGTGCAAATGGGCTAGTACTCTTTTTCAACCACACCCACATGTTAGAGAAATCATTATTTCCCAGGATCTGCGTTCCCGCTCAGAATTACATTCATGATGGCCAACGGAAAATGTTCACAAAATTTGTACACAACCCTAGAAGATGGTGATGAGTTGAAGGAAAACAATCAGAGCTCAAAGTCCTGGTTTGGGAATTTAATTCCATGTTTTGAATTTGTGAAGGCACAGCAAAAACAGCTTTCAACATTAGATCTAGGAGTAAGGACCAATTGGAGGTGGGACCAGTGGAGCAAGACAGCTGCCATGTTTGAGCTGAACACTGCAGAGGACTATTTATTTTAACTAGAAAGTCTGACAAAGTGTCAGAACAGTCTCCTCTCCCACCCTTGCTGAAAAGGAGAGCCATCCTACTGAATGTTCTCTAAATGTTCCTTACTGTATTGGGTTTAACCTTTCTAGGGTTGCTACTTATACTCGCACATGCAGACTTGTTCCAGAATATCGCATTGTTGGAGATGCGAAATGGCTGCCGACATGCTTCTCTCCCCAGTCTGCAGTCCAACAGGTGAACAGCGCCCCACCCTGCCCGTCCAGACAGCGCCCCAAGTGTGTGGCGCTGGTGTCTATTGCCAAAGGAGCCACCTCTGACCACCCTCTCTGCGTGCAGGCACTGTTGCCAGCAAGTGCCATTCACTGAAGACTCCTCAGCCAATCGGAGTCAGAAGTACCTGGCCAGACTCCGACTGCGACTGGAAAGGGCGATTTTGAAAACGTCTTCCTTGAGTGGCGTTTTCTGCACAGCTTATCATTTCTGCTCATTCCAAACACATTCCAACCATCAAAATCATACCAGGACCCATCATTTTTCTAACCCTAACCCTGCCCTGGTGCACATCCCTAACCCTAGTATAGGGGTAAAGTTCCACTGAAAAGAGGGCGATTTTGAAAAGGCCTTCCTTGAGTAGTGTTTTTTGCACAGCTTATCCTTTCTGCCCATTCTAAACACATCCCAGCCATCTTAATCCTATCAGGAACCCTCCTTTTCCTAATCCTAACCCTGCCCTGGTGCACAACCCTAACCATAATATAGGGATAAATTACCATTGAAAATGTGGCCATTTTGAAAAAGCCTTCCTTGAGTAGCTTTTTATGCACTGTTCATCATTTCTGCCCATTCTAAACACATTCCAACCATCAAAATCATATCAGAACACCTCGTTTTTCTAACCCTAACCCTACCCTGCTGCACACTCCTAAACCTAATATGGCCAACTACGTTTGGGGTGTTTTGGGATGCTGCAATTGGCAACAAACTCAAGGCAGCTTGCATAATGTTTTGCCCAATTTGATACTCACAACAACACACCTGCACGGTAGGACGGGCCGAGACTCTGTGCCACGGCCAAGCAGGGACTAGAACCTGGACTGCCCGAGTCCGAGTCCCAATGACTGTAGGAGCGTTCAGTGCTTCACACCATCCCTGCATGCAAAACCTCCTCAAGCCAATGCAAGGGGATCGAGCGGGGAAGGCAAGTCAGACAGATCAGCCTGTTGAAGTCAAGAGCCCGATCCTCTGGGATGGCGCACCAGAGCAACGCGGGGTAGGACACGTGCCTGGCAACGCTACTCCTCGGAATCGCGGGGAAAGGCAGGGCAAGGGGCGCTTCCTGGACAGCCCCCCTTGCTTGATCCATTCAGCAGAACTGGGGGGCGGAAGCGAGAGAGTGAGGAAGCCCTCGTGGAAGGAAGCCGCAACCGAAGCGCTACAGCCATTGCTGCCCCCACTGTTCTAATAACCGCAACGGAGCTGCTAGAGGCACGGGCACAGCTGCGGGACAGCCGGTACTTTGTGGAAGGCCACAATCTGGCCGTACCCTCTGTACATCTAGATACGTGCCTCCGTGGGGACAGGCCACTAGCAATATGGCTGACGGGAAGTCTCTTCTCTGCGTCAGACACCACCAACATGGTGAGCATGGTGAGTTTGTTCAAGCAACGGCTTGATCAAGCAGTTGGAGAGAAACGTTCCGCTTGTAAACGGCCGCGTCGGCACTTTCAAGTCTTTTCTGGGAAAAAAGGGCAAGTAAAAGCCACACGTCCCCTTCCGGCAGCCATGTTAGGAATGGCAAGGAAGCCCCTCACTCTCGGGCAGGGAGGGAGGGAAGTGACGACACAGGCGCCATCTTGGTTGTTTTGCAGGGAGTTTAGCCCTCCGCCATGTTAGAAGTGGCCGGCTTTCGCAGGGGCGCACATATAGACATACGAAAATGAAGAGCTGCCGCCCCTCCTCTGTGCACTGGTTCACAGGACGACTGCTGAAGCTTCGGCCACGATCTCCTTTTCCTGCTCTGTGTCTACTCTAAGTAGGAATTCAATCCTCCAGGCTTTGGGGACAGATGCAGACTCGCAGCTCTCCTACCTCACAGGGCTGTTGTTAGGACAGAATAGGGAGAATGGAAATCGTGTGAGCTGCCTTGGTAGGTTCCTTGCAGGAAAAACGGCGGCACAAACGCTTCTCTCATCTCAGAGCCTCATCTCTAAATCAGCTGCATTAGGATGCTGGGTGGGGCGACAGCGTTCTTTGAGGGCCCACGCTTTGGGGGGCAGGCTTCAGAGAGGTTCGTTGCTGAGCGTAGAGCCCCCGGCTTGACAAACCCCTCCCTGCACTCAAGTTGAACGCACAAATCACGCTCACTACACGATCTGATGCATTTCATTTGCATTTGAGAGTATAAAATGTGGCTCCAGCGGCTACTGCCACCTCCCCCCCACCTCCAATTTTGTAATAACCGCGACAGAGCGCTTTCGTCCTCCTGGGAAAGGGGCTGAGGCTGGCACGTTGATAGCTGTGGCACGTTGTGGAATGCCATTATCCGGATCTACAATTTTGTAGATCTAGATATGCGCCTCTGCGGAGAAGGCCACTACCAATATGGCTGACGGGTGAAGACACCTCTCTGCGTTGTACACTACCAAGATGGCGAGGACCGATTGCGCATCACTATTCTGCACCCCGGAGGTTTTAACGTCACGCTTAGCGTGGCTCTGAAGGCTTTTTCCTGCCCTCCCTGCCTCTCCTGACATGGCCGCCCGAGGGAAGGAAGGGAAGGGAAGGAATCGGCCAGGAGGGAAGGGCTGCTCCTCCTGCTTGTTTTTGGAAATGGGCAGACTCAGCTGCCCCCCTTTCTTTGCGCACCCCCTGGCGAGGGAGGCTCAGACCCTTCCCTGGAAGTCTGAGGCAGCAATGCCAGCCTCAAGAGGAGATACCCTGGGAGAGCCAGGCGGGGCCCTGCCAGAGAAGCCCCGATCTCACGTGCATGTGCAAAGCAGGCGGGGGCTGCCTTGGATGGGGAGGGGTCCCTGCTTCCCAGTCGCCGCCCCCGGCCCATATTGTGACTCAAATGCAGTTCGGCATTAATGGGTGCAGGCAGGATACACGTTGAAACAGTACTGGGTCATTCCCGTATCAATTTATGGGGAATGAAGTCTCGCTTGAATTCAGTAGTTCTTGCTTAGGATCGCAGCACTGTTCACCGAAGAGCAAGTAAATCAGGACTGATTGAGTTTGGC